GGAAACTCTAAATTAACCCTTCCGAGTTCGTCAAAATGAACGATTAAGACCTCTAATTGATTGAAACAGTCAGTCTTCTCACTCCGACGTTACAATAAAATTTCGAGTTCCAACTTGCATTTTGACACATTCTGGTCGATTGTCACAACACTGAAACTCGCGAAAATCAGAACAACGATTTTCGTTAAGACAAGCATGACGTACCAGAAATTATAGCAAACGACAGATTTATACTACGGTTGGCGACACTTACGTAAGAAGTTTCCGAATTGTAACGATTGTAGCTGTACAATCATTACCGAGAAGTTGCCGAGAAATCGGATGGATAACGGGAGGAGTTTACTACACTCCCAGATGGACGAAAAGAGCGCTTTTCGTCCGGATTTGAGTTTCCGGAAGGGTCTCGGAAAGAAACTGAATCTGTATTTTTAACAACTTATATGTCCTGAAACTGAAACTGTGTTTGTAACAATTCAATTCGGATATGTCCTGAATTGAATCAAATAACATTAAAAATAGTTTTTAAATAATGAGAAGCTAGGAGTTGAGGGTAAGGGTTGATCCATCTCCGATGGACATGATGATTTTTATCTGCTGAACAAAAACAATTGTGATATGATAATAAGTAATAGCCCTGTTGTTAGGAGTGACGTCGTGGTCATGGGATAATGAGACCCAGCCATGAGCTCACTATTTTAGCATGTAATAAAGTTAATTAGAGCGTTCTGATCGAAGCCGGAAACAGTAACGTTTTTTCGTCGACCCGATGTTAGAAAGACCACCAAAAGAACTGGCTTTGGCAGGGACGGTGAAAAGCATTTAGAGCTGTGTTTAGACGCTAATCACCTCTCCGAATTCGTTCAATTGAACGATTAACACTGCTAATTGTTCAAAACAGTCAATCTTCCCGCCAAACTGCTCCAATCAAATTTCGTTGATGACAAGTATTTTCAGGTCATTCTGGTCGAATGTCATTTTTTCCTTTTGTATTCCCCTTAAAGTTTTTTGTTGCCCAAATGTTTTGACTTATGTTTCATCGGTTTAGTGACCTACTTTTGAGTCGTTTAGAGTTAAAATGTTTTTATTGCCCACTGGATTGCAAAAATTGCTAAATTCTTAATAGAAAGTTTAGTTCAAGTTTATTCAGGAAATTATTTTTGGCTCTGTTTCCTATTTTTCTCGGCTTGATAGAAGAAGAAGAAACAGTTACTATACACAATAATAAAATAAAATAAAGGATTTAGGACTAATCCAAGGGTTCGCATAAAACCCAGTGATTGGGAGGTTCAATGTTTGTGTTTCAGTTGTTACAGTTAAGTTTCTTCAAATCTCTACAGTTGTTGCAGCCACATAATATCTGCCAAGTGCATGAATCTTATTCGTTGTAGCGCGTTTTGAAGAACTTCGTATAAACTTCCAGCAGTTTAATTTTGCATCCTGGATCAAAGATTATGTCAAATTTGAAGTAATCGTTAAAAAGGATGGCCAGACGGCAAGCTCGAAACCAGTAATCTGATTCACACTTCTTCAGACGTATTTGTTGGCAGGCAAAATTTCGTGTTACTGGTGTTCTTCGAGTACCGATGTCTGTGATGGTTACTTGACTACGCCAGTCTATGTCAACTTTTCCGGATAGTATTTTGGCAAACAAGAGAAAAACATGAAGTTCTTGATATAAGGAGATTGGAAGGATGTCAAGTTTCACGAGCTTATCCTTAAAGGATATGTTGTTTGTGATGAAGATCCATGATACTGCTTTTCGCTGGATACTTTCAAGAGTACCTAAGTCGCCTTTTGATGGTTTCCAAAGGGCTGATCCGTAGTTTAAAATTGGCAGAACATAACAGATACATGCGTTCTTTCTGGTCCAAAACGTTGCTTTTGAAAGATTCCGTTTTAGGATGAAGAGAGCGTTCAAGGCTTTTTCGGTCCTTTTCTTTGCATGCAGAGTCCACGAGAGTGTGTCATTTACGAGAATGCCCAGATATTTCATACTTTCAGTTGTTTCAAATTCATGGTTTGACAGTGCAATAGGAGCTGTACCTTTAATGCAGAGCACTTTTATTTTTCCTAAGTTCGTTGACATGAAATTTTCGTCACACCACCGCCACAGTTTTCTAACGTCTATATTCAGTGTTAAAGGGTTGTCGCCTACAATTTTGTAGTCATCAACATAACCGAACGATTTGGACATGACACATGATGGAAGATCGTTTATGAAAACCAAGAAGAAGAGCAGTCTGAGGATGGAGCCTTGTGGTACGCCACTGAATACTTCTAATTCATCTGAAACAGTGTCATTTAGTCTCACAGTTTGCTTCCGTTTATAGAGTTAGCTTCTTAACAGATTCAAACAGTTTCCACCAATCCCCAGAGCAGCCAACTTTTGTATGAGAAGCTCATGCGTGACTTTGTCAAACGCTTTCTCGAAGTCTATGAAGAAGATATTCAGATAGGAGCAGCTATAGATTCAGACTCTAAGCAGCTATAGATTTCATGCAGATATTCTATAAGGTTCGTTATAGTTGACCGTTTGGGTCTGAAACCATGTTGGGCTGATGCCAGAGTTGGGTAAACAATTGGAATCAGCTTCTCGAAAATCAGTTTCTCTAGCAGTTTTGAAACTGTTGAAAGCAGGCTGATAGGCCCGTAATTACTCACATCTTGTTCATCTCCGTCTTTGAGTATTGGTGCAATTTCACTGACTTTCCATTTTTCCGGAAATCGGGCTTTATTTGCGATGAGGTTAAACAGTAAGTGCAATGATTTCGGCAGTGACTTGGAGAGACTCTTCAGAAGTAAGTTCCCGATCTTATCCGGTCCTTTGGCTTTATTTACGTCCAGTAGTTGCAGAGCGTTTTCTTTTTCATCGGTTGTAAAGTAAATCTGATTTAGTAGGGTGCTATTTTGTTCGCCTATTTTCGTATAGTAGGTGTTTTGAGTGAACACTGATTGAAAATATTCGTTGAATAATATTACTTTTTCAATATCTGTATTGGCAGTTCTTTGATCCAAAAAAATTTCGGTAGGGATAGTGTTCGACTTGGTGAGCGACTTCAAGTATCTTTGTATGTCGCTGAATTTGCCTTCCTTGAAGAGCCTGTTTGTAGACATTCAATTTTAATTTTGTTTGACGGCGTGGGCTGCCGTTGTTGTTTCAATTGAAGTGTTTTTATTTTCTTGATGAGGTTTGAAGAGTTGCCACTTACCCATGGAGCCAGTTCGGACCTATGTTTCGTAGTTATTGGAAGAAGATCCTTTAATATTTCATGTAGCCACTTATACCAAAGTTCAACCATCAAGTACACGTTGCTCATGCAGTATGGTCGGAAGGGATGTTGGAGAATGATCTCATTAATTTCTTTCCAGTTAGCTTTCTTGTATGCAAATATACCGAAGTCTAGCTTTTGTTTGGGAGACGGTGAAGAGATTTGTACAGGTCAGATGTCAAACGAGACTTTAGCTTGATAAGGTTTGTGATCAGATTTGAAGAGACTTCTCAGATGATTATCAATGACTATGCTTGTCACATAGTGGGTTTTTATGAGTTGCTGAAAATTTGATTCACATAGTTCATTGAGGATTGTTTGCTCGAAGAGAGATGTTGACGTCATTGAGGGCCAGTGTGTAGATGAAAGATTGATGTCTCCAGCTATATATGAGCAAACAGCACTGTATTCGAACTGTTTTCGCCTAATGAACTTTAGGAGCTCAACGATGCCCGGAAGAGTCCATGTGTACGCACTGTTTGACGGGGCGCTGTAAAGACAACATATTAGGAATGTTTTAACTAAGCTTACACGAATTATCACACAGTTTTGAAAAATTGAGTCAATTTGAGAGCTTGGAATGTTTTTGCTTACTGCTATCAGTACACCGCCATGCTTTGTCAACCCTTTATCAGATAGTCTGTCTTTTCGATGTATCGCATAGTTGGTTAGAAACAGACCTATATCGCTAATGCTCTCTGTGAGCCACGTTTCTGTTAGGCAGATAATTTGATAAATATTTTTCACTTGAACGGCATTGGAGAAATTTGTTCGGCGTTGGTATTCAAGTATACTTCTCACATTGTAAATTAGTATATTTATGAAAGCTGCTAGTCATTCGTCCGCCACGGGAAGCTTCTCTTTTGTCCACTTTGCGCCCTGTCGAATAAACAGGGTTGCGTTACGATCACGCAGATTTTTCGGATCAGTGCCTTTATTTATCAGTTCTCGTCGTCTCACAAGAGCTAAGTTTTCAAGATCAGCTTCTTCTTTTGTCAGTTGTTTGCTGAGAAAGATTGGTTGACTGAAAGTTTTCAGCTTTCTCGCCGATAGCAGTACCATTCGACGCTGATATGCATTTGGAACTTTTAATAGGATAGTTCTCGTTTTGTTCTCTTCATATCGACCAAGTCTTATGACGTCGCCTATAATAGCATTGACTTCCATATGGGTTAGTAGTTTTTGAACTTCTGCAGGGTCGTGTTCTTGGCGTACTCTTGCTTCTTTTTCCGTTGATTCTGGGATACCACGTATACGAATTCCAACGAGTTCTTCGGGAGGTTTCGGCATTTGTTCTTGTTATTTGGTAATTGGACTATTTTGGGCTGGTTGCCCGGAATCGGGCGGTTTCCTTTTGAGAAGCGTTTTGATTTCGGACACAGTTTTCTTGAGGTCAGTCATTTCGGTTTCAAGGTTTTTCATCTGACTTTCTTGGTGTTCATTTGAGACCGTGTTCACATGGGCAGATTGTGCAAGCTTTTCGTGGCGCTTCTCTTCGATACACTTGTTACAAAGTAAGGCATTTTTTCCAATAGCCAGTACTCCATTGACAGCCGCTTCACTCAGGCCAGTACAATTTTTAGTCAGATGCATTTGACAGCCACGGACGAAGCAGTCGAATGAACTTTCATTTTTCAGGATTTTCTCATCACAGGTGAAGCATGAATCAGAGATTGATTTGACTCGATTTCAAGTGTTATGTTTAGACATATGTTTAGCCTAATTGTTGTGATAAACTTATTAAATAGTTTCATATACTATGATGACGGGGACACGTGGACGCTTGAAGAGTGCTCAAAATTCACCGTGTACATCCTGCAACGCAGCCGTGAAGAAACAAGACGAAGGAATGCAATGCGATAGATGTGGCGAGTGGTGGCATCGGGCGTGTACGGACATCCCGCAGCAGTTTTACGACCATCTATCATCGGTTCGTGGGATTATGTGGGCCTGTGCGAACTGCCTTGACAATGCCAAGACAGCAATGAAGACGTCCATTCGAGATAAGTCTATTGAAACTTCTCTAGAATCTATCAAAACTGAAGTCATCAATCTTAAAGCAGCTCTTGTATCCACTGATACTAAGACAATTGTAAATGGCCACACAGCAACGCCTGTTACACCTGATGATCAAAGTAAAATGGGAATAAGAATAAATGGCGTGCCTGAACTTTCCAACCAGAAAATGCATGACAGAATGGATTCAGACTTTCAAGCAGTCAGAAAAGTTATGGAGTATTTGGGAGAGCTTGGCAATGAGCCTATTACTGATTCCTTTCGGCTGGGAAAGTATCGATCTGATGCTACCAGGCCGAGAACCTTGCTGGTGATGTTTAAGAATCCATGGCTGGTTCGTAAGTTGCTGGCTAAATCGTATATCTTGAAAGATTATTCTGATAGCATCTACTTATCCAGAGAGCTTACTGTTGACGAAAAGAAATTGGAGTCGCGTATTCTCTTTGAACGTTATAAACTTGTCGAAACCGGTATCTCAAAAAATAGACTGAGAGTTAGAGATTTAAACTTGTATCTGGATGGCAAAGAACATGTGTTTTGACTAGCCAACCGCAAAATTAGTCTCCGTTTGCTGAATGCCCGTTCATTGAAAAAACATAATGCCATTTATGAACTACAGTGTGATGCCAGTTATCACGGATTTGATATTATCTGTATAACTGAGTCTTGGTTAACCACGGACATTAATAATTCGTTTATTGCTATTCCTGGGTATAATATATTTAGGAAAGACCGCAGTTCGTTGAACTCAAACAAAACCACAGGCGGCGCTGTCTGTATTTTTGTTCGTGAAGGTATTGTCAGTGATCGGTGGACTTGTCATCATTTTGATCAGTATGAAATTCTGTGGCTGTCACTTAGCGTAGGAAATAAATATTTGTTGGTATGTTTGGTTTATTTCCCACCTGATGCTACGTATGGCTGTCAGCTAGAAATGCATATCTCACATTCCATCAATGTCTTCAGGGACCAGAACCTATCGTCACTTGTTGTACTCTGTGGGGATTTCAATAACTTGGATACTGATGACCTCGTATTAGATTGCGGTCTTTACGATGTTTGTACGGAACCCACACGCGGGAATAATAGACTTGACAAAATATTGTGTTCGGATGAAATTTATTTCAATGGTATTGAACGATTTACTCCTACTTTGAGAACGGACAATATGGGTTTGGTTGCTTATCATGGTGTTGAACAATCTGAAAAGAAGGTTGTTTACTTTCGTGGCCATAGATTTGCCAACAAAAATCATTTGAACTATTTGCTGGATACCCATGATTTAAGTTATTTTCTTAACTACAACGATCCAAATGTGTTGTTAGGGGAACTTTCTAACGAGCTTCTGAATCTGTATAAGGTCGCCTGTCCATTGAAACGTGTTGTTCTTAGCTCAAAGGATCCACCTTTCATGACTCCGGTTATCAAATACCTTTTAAGGAAGAAGCATCGACATACACGTCGAGGTAAACTTGCGGAAGCGAATGCTGTCGGCCTTCAAGTTCGTATGTTAATTACTAAACGTGCCTTTTCTGATTTCAGTGGTCGAAACTGGTGACAGCGTGTGAATACTTTATTGAATAAGAATACAATAGCCCCAGATCGCACCTGTGCTTTTTCGGCTGAGCAGCTTAACCAGTACTATAATGGCATCTCCATTGCTTCTGGAGGCCCATTCAAGCCTACTTATTTGGAGACTACAAATGACGGTCCGCAGTTTTCGCTCTTGCAAATATTTAATGCCATGAAACGCATTAGACGTACCGCTACTGGCCCAGACGCTCTGCCGTTTTGGATCTTTAAGGACAATGCTCACAATTTGGCCGAAATCTATTGTCATATGTTCATATTGTGCTTGGAACAAGGTATTTTCCCGGAGTTTTGGAAGCTTGCAAAAATATTTCCCTTGCCAAAGTTTCGTCTCCAAAGCAGCCAAAGGATTTGAGGCCTGTCTCTGTTACTTCTGTTATGTCCAGAGTGTTTGAAAGGTTAATTTACCAGAACTATATGCAACCTTATAACAGATGGCTTACACGTAACCAGTATGGTTTTCGTAAACATTCTTCTACTTCTTGTTTGCTCATTAGGCTGCAATATCATCTCTGGAATTTCCGTGAAAACTATGATTATGTTCGCTTCTTTTCTCTAGATATGTCAAAAGCTTTTGATACTATTTCCCACAAGAGTGTTATAGAAGGAGTAATCAATATTGTCCCAGTAGTCGATCCTGCGGTTGCCAACGTAATCATTAACTTCTTGCAAAATAGAGCCCATTATACATCTCTCAATGGCTTGGATTCAACTGTTTTGTATACTAATCAGGGTGTCCCTCAGGGCACTGTCCTTGGTCCGCCTCTTTACAATTACTCTACCCATGCTATTGATGTTTCAGATATTTCCACCACGTTATCAACTTATGCTGACGATAACAATCCTCTTGTAGCTGGCTGCAATAGCGCTGACAATGCTCGGGAAGTTATTAGTGTGACATTCGACCAGAATGGACCAAAATGCAATCTCTGCAGATTTCGAATTTTTAGCAGTGAATCTTCCGAGTTAATGATTTTGAAGGATTAACGACGTTATTCGGATGATTAGCAGAACGGTGAAGGTCAGGATATTCCCGTATTTTAAAATTTTAAATTTTCGAAGTGATGACGTAACATTTCTGAGAAACGTCAGAAACGGCCATTTTGGCAGAAAAGCTAAAAAGAAACAGAACTTAGGACTTAGTTTTATTTTCCGTCGATATGTATCTTCCGGGCGAATGTTACATACATGTTTTTATGGCGCTCCTGGGTGTTATTCTTTTTTAACATCATGACCGGCAGAACCGTTAACGAGCACTCCGCGCCGAGCGGATGCTCACATTAACGCCCTTAATAGGCCTAAACCGCCGGGGCGGAAGGGTAGTTCGGAACGCGGAAGCCTTCCGGATTACCGTGAATAGCTTTTTAACCTAGTTAAGACCGAAAATTCACGAACCAGGAAGGGTGGGGGGATTCGCGGTCCCGTCATCTCCTGAATAGTTTGTGACCAAAAACACTTAAAGATATATATAAAACCAAACAAAAAGTAGTATAGTACCCAAGAAAAACAAAAAACATAAAAAAATAACCGAAAAACCAAAAACAGTAAAAAAAAAAAGTAAAAAATCAGCAGAAATCATCCCCCCAGACAAGATGTGATCCGACCCCCCCGTTTGTTGTTGATAGATATATTGTTGTTACAGGCATTTATATCAGTCAGGATCGTTACGATCAGTTTTGTAGCCCGTTTGTGAGGCTTGTACTGTAGGGTTATTTGAGCATTTAAGCACGTTAATGATAAATTGCGCTCAATCCGGAAGGGTCAGCTGATTTGCTCTCAATTCGGTAGGGTCTTGGGAGAAGATTGATCCGGCAAGCAGTACAAGAAGCAACAAGAAGGGGCTCAACGACAACAACAATCGACTGTTGGGTATCGTTAACAAGTTTTATATCCCTTTTGGTACAAAAAATAAAGATAGCAATCTGTGGGGGGCTCGACAGTGCTGCACTGTAGTGACCCTTCACCGAACTGCGAATATCCGAGTTAAGCACCTTAATTCGGATATTAAACAACATCCGGAGGGGTATAGTATTACTAATATTGTTACTTATATAGCCTATATTAATAGTCTCATATCGTTTTTCAGTGAAAACAACGAAAACAGACCTGTTTTTAGGGTCAAAATAGCAATATTTTGATCCCCCACAAGTTGAGATTTTTGAGATATCGATATTTTTTGAAACGAAAAAAAGCGCTAATGTAGTGTGTTACATTGTAACTGCACTACCATAATAGATAGAACCGGTTAAGTTTAGTTCGAAAGTGGTTGGAACTATTTTGGTACCGAAAACCGAAATTTCGTGATTTTTGAGAAAACGAAACACTATAAATTCACACATTTTTTGAAAATTTTGAGTTAGAACAGTAAAAATAGTTGTCCGGACAACGTCCACTAGTGAATGTACAAGTTTTAAAATCCGCTACCCGAAAGCCTTCCGGGTTGCAGAGAAATCGAACTTAACGTGTTTGATTTGGTGGATTCATCAATCCGGAGGGGTACAGGTAGCACAGTTTTTCGCAAATTTTTTCAACAAAAGCGTTTTAGATCGGGTCTTTTGCATTGAACTAGAAGAGTATAGGCCTTCTGAGCTCGGATCAATAGTTTTTAGGTCGAAAGGACCAGATTTGCGGAAAAAGTTAGGCGGAACCTATAAGAGAGAAATTTCTTGACTTAAAAAAAAAGACGTTTTGATTAATAACTTTGGAACTACTAGGCATATCGAGTTGATCTTGGTACCAATAGATCAGAAATTAGCTGTACTTACTGATAGGAACAGACTTTTTTCGGAAAAATAAGCGTGAAAATTTTTTTGAGATTGTTTTTAGCAGATTCACCAATTTGGGAGGGTAGACCCTTCACGTTTTATAAATTTCTTTTAGAAAAGCCCTTATACCCTTACCAAAAGGTAAGAGCGGTTGAATAAAGTAACTTTAGGCTGTTCTAGACGAAAAGGGAAGGCTAAAGGCACAGCAAAACCTTAAACGAGCCGAAGTTAGGCGAGCGATAAGACCCTTCACCGTTAGCGTGAATTGTCAAATAAGAGGCTTAACTTCAATCCGGAAGGGACTAGAAAAGCATTACATACCCTTCCTAGTTAACCTGAAAAGCAAAATAGCATCGGAAAACGTATCCGGAGGGG